GATTTCTTGTAGCGTCTTTTCTGGATTTGGCGGCTGAAGAAATTGATATATGCCCATTGGAATTTGTGAAAGTCTTTGCAGAGATTTTAGCCTACGGCAGACTGGGCCTAAAGGAAGCAATCCCCAAAGAGACAGAGCCTGCAGCTGTGAATTTAAATGTGTAGTAGGAAATGTCAGATTGCAGATCCAGAAGAAAAGGCATGCACTGAAGACTAGGGGAATTTCTGCCCTAAGATCTATCAACTATTTTCAGAACCATGAAGCAGAGAGCTGTTTATGTTTGTTACTACTTTTTAATTCCTGTTGGCAGTGACATGCAGACTATGAAATGTGTTAGGCTTGATTTACATAAATCAGAAGGTTGTCAGCATCTTCCCTTTAGATGTCTATGTTGCCTTAAAATCCAAACTGATGACCTCATTGTAACACAAATAAATAGTGTTGGTAAATGTTATTATAAATTTCTTCTATTACTGAACATACAGATGGAAATGCAAAGTTAAAATTTGTGATATTTTCTTACATACACTATGCTTTGTTACCAGTCTTCCATATTTTTGAAACATTGTTTTTCCATTATCAAAAAAGGATGGATTCTGTTTTTTTGGGGGGTTGATCATATTCACTTAATTTGGTCTTTTGTTGAAAATAGAATTTCCTTATTGGTAGACCCCTTTGTATCAATACAAATGTAATTTTGAGATCCTTTATCTGTCCATCATAATGAAATGAAAAAAGAGGAAATATTTACATCTCTTAATTGAATGATTATTTCTGTGTGTCATCAAGTACTGGCGAGTGCAGATATATTGTTGGAAAGAGTAAGGGAAATACTGTAATTATAATCAGAAAAGTTCTAGATAATTTCACGACTGCCAAGAACATCTGTAATTTTACATGCTTGTAGCATACTAGGATTACCTAGTTGATTAGATGTATTGTTAGATACTTATATTAGGGATGGTTGTTCAGTTTTATCCCAAGGCATTAATTTCTCATGAAAGGAATTTACTGATCTCAGTGTACTAATCACCAATTCAACTTTCTGGTTCACTGTACTCGTATTTTTTAACATAAACACGATTTTGTTCTAGATTTCAGAATAAATATTGAGTTTTATGTGAAATGCACAACTATCCTTATAAATCATGAGTTTTGTACAGCCTATCCAAGAAGATTTTTGGTTTGTTTGTCATAGGTATAGTACCAAAATAACAAAGTGTTTTTTTGAGTTACTATTAATATATATTGCAACATGAATTACATTTTGCAACATAAATATCTGTAATTTTTATTACACAGGCACTGCCCTTCCACCTTCCTATATTCAGATAGTGAGACTACGCTACTAATGGGTAGATTTCCACATTTTCGTCTGTTTTTTGGTGTTTTCCTTAGTGGATACTACCAGCTATGTGAAGTCATCTCATTACTTGAAACAAACTGCTTAGGCTTGGACTTTTTAAAATAAAACTTTTTTTTATGTCACCCTTATAAATGTGCCCTTTCCAAATTCTTCTTGCTTGCTTTTACAATAATGAAAAGACTAAAAAGACCATGCTTGCAATTAAAAGTCATTTTTAAATAACCTCAGAAGATTGTTTCTAGAAATCAAAACATCTTCATAGTACAATTTCTAAGGAAAGAAAGACAAGTGACTAGGATCCCGTACTCTTTACTGTAGTCTACATTAATTATCTTCTATTAAAAAATGACAAAGACCTTTTTGAAAGGGAATCTGGCACTCTTTCCACAGAAATGATGGCAGACACCCTACTCTCTGCTGATTTCTTGACACTTCTAATTACCTGTATTCATTTGAAATCGTTTCCTTTGTAGTGAGTTATTGGCATGATTTTCAGAGAACAAGAGGAAAATGGAAAACATTTTAGCAAGTTAAGAAAAAAAAAATCAACAGTATCATTGTTTGCAGCTTTTGTTGAAACTACCTATGTGAGTCATTTGAGGGACATGAAGGTAAATGAAAGGTTATACTTTGCCCTGCACGTTGTCACTGGTATTTGTAATGTCAATAACTGTAGAAGGTTGTCAGGAAACTGGAGAGATAAAGGTCAATAGCAATGACAAATATATCACTGTATGTGTTTGAATATGCAATATCAGCCCAATCTCATGGTGGAGGTTTTCACACCCTGGAAATATCAATCAGGTGCTGTATCAGAACTATTCATTGTTTTCTGTATACTTAGAATTAAATGGGAGATCAGTAGGTTTAAGTTTTAGCATGTTTACATTATTTTTTTCCAGCTTATATTTTTTTCATTTAATGCAGAGCAACAAGTTACTATGTCAAAAAGATATTTTCTGTTGAATAAAACACCAACAGATTGAAAAACAAAATACAAAAAAAAAGGGAACAAACATTATTCTGGGTTCATTAATGTGTTATGGGGCATTGAATGTTAGTTCCTATTTAACATCTGATATTGCTACAGCTTCCAAATTATTTTTGCAAACCATGGCTTTCTGATAATTGTATGTAAAGCAATTTTTTTCCTATTTTAACAAAGGCAGTGGCATCTTGTTCAAAGTGCCTTTAACAGAAACAGAGGCACTTTATTTTTCGTATAGCAGTTCTTAAGAGCTCTGTTAAAGAAAGCGACCACAATGTACAGTTAAATGAATGTATAAAGGAATAATCCTTTAGAGAGAACTATCTTACACTTGAACACATCAAAACACCAGCATGTGACTTGTTACAGATGTGGTTCTGATTTAGGAAAACTTCTCACTTGACATATAGGAGTGCTAAATCACAATTCATTGCCTTGTAATGTGGTTTTCTGTGATTATGAAAAATGGCAAAATGAAAGCTGAAGAACTTCAGTGTGTCACAAGACATTGACTGTGAAAACAGCACTTAAGTTCAGGGCAAAGCTTGAAGTAGAAAAGTAGGGGAAGGACAAAACAACATGGAGATGAGTATGAGAATAGCAGGAAGGAAGTATTGCTGCAAGAGTCTTGTTTGGGAGACAACTGGAAGAAGTACTCTTACTGGGTAGAGTATATGAAAAAGTGACTATGGGGAGCTCAAGGAAAGGTGAACACAAATTGTATGCTGATTAGAGATACAAAGTCCAATATAGTGGGGAAAAAAAAATTGCAGACATGATAAAGGCACAAAGATACTGTTATATGGATCAGAACATGATAACTATGAAACTTCTACAAATCCAAGTTTTTAAAATAAGCCAACCATAAAACTGTTCACTAACTCTAATCAGTGATCTCGCTCTTCCCCTGAAAACTGCTTCCCTTTACGAGATGCAAGTCCTTTGTACTGCTAGGGTAGCCAATGAAGAGCCCTAAAATTCTGACAATTTCAGCACATAGAGTTTTGTGGTAGCTTTTGAATGACTTGAATGATCAAGTGGTTCAAACTTTATTCAGTTTATAAAAATAGTGACTGAATTTGGTGATGTATCTTCTGAGTGTATTTAACATTGAGTTTTAATTTAGTAAGCCTTTTTATGTACTTAAATAGTATTTTAAAAATCGTGTATGCTGCTCAGGAAAGCGCTTAAGAATCTGATCATAAGAACATATCTTTCAAAGTTCAGAGAGTTTAAGGAAGTCCTTGAAGAAGTCCACTGTTGGCTGAAGTTGTTTTTCCTGGGTCATTTCCTAGAAATACTTTTGACCTCCAAATTTTTTTCCTGAGAGTAAACATCCTAGCTGAGTTTCCCAGGACATAATAATAACTAAAAAGGTAGCAACCCTTATTAAACTCATAGAAGTTTATCCTTCCATTCTTAGCTAATTTTAAGCAATATGTCACCCAAATAATTTGGAAAAGTTTTTCAGATTCTTAAAAGAAAGTAATCTCATTTTAAAAGAAAAATTACTCTTTTTTGAGATATCACAGCTTAATATCTTAAAAATATGTGAGTGAAAAGCAAGATATGTACCTTAATCAGTTACTGAAATGCAATTCAATAAATGATTCAAGTAATGTTACAGTACTGTCTGAGAAATGGCCTGTAGTCCTAGACTGTTCGTTGCATACCCTGTTGTTCTATGAATTTTGTTGTATGTTGAAATTTTTGTCATCCATGTACATATGGTGCCTGGCACAAATGATGATTGATGCATATGATAATATATGATTCTTTTTTTCTCTCTCCCTCACTTTCTCATGCCTTCCCTCTTTCTCTTTTCCTTTAACTCCCCATTTCCATCTTCTCTATTTCTGTCTCCTATTCATCCTCCTCTCAGTCACACCCTTCTCTCTCTTTGTGCTGTGGTACAAGGGTTTTCTTTTAAAGTACTTTTTAAAGGTACATGTCTGCCTGTTGCTTTATTAGGTTTCACCCTGTCTCTTTCACATACATACAGGCATGTGATAGGTTTTCCATCTGAAAACAGTCCTGGCCCTTATAATAGACCAATCCTTCTTAGATTTGCTATTTTCACTCAAATTCTTAATTGTATCATTGTCCACATTCTGCATTCAAGATCATGACATTGCTACAAGATGACTGCAATTACAAGGCTGTGAAGAGACATTCACGCTGCTGTTTTGAATCTGCATTTTACCTCTCTGGAATGGGGATAATCTTTCAGCAGATGAAATCTCTTTGTGTGTTTTTGTGTGCAAGAAACAAGAAGGAATTCACATTGTGCTACATAGCTATCATCCTGTCTCCTATATACTGTGAATACATGACTGAGAATTAGATGCTCCCTAAACCTTGATAATTTGTAGGCCAATATGCATTTCTTTGAAAATGGAAAAAAATTAAATACTTCTGAAGTATGCATTTATCTCCTGTACTTGTGTGAACTGAAACATCACATAGAATCAGGCTGACTGATTTTCTGATTTTGTTAGCTTGGATATGCTTCATATAGCAGGGAAAGTTCTGTAGATACAAATACTTGAAGCAAACTTTCCAGTTTGCGGGGCATGACCAATTACCGAGAGTGCCTTGGTATTCTTTTGCAGATAAAATGGTGCTGTGCTTTGTTTTATTTTGCAGAGATTCAGCACGTGAACACTGTCTGAACTTCAGAAGAGAACTGTCCTGCTCCAGAGTGAGTACTGCCTATTCTCTCACAGAATAGGAGTGTCCATACATTGCCAGTAGTTCATAATAAAGTAGATCTTTCCCGCTCATTTTCTGTTCTTACAATTCAGACATTTATTTGCATTGCTTAATATCTCAATAACATACAATATTTATTAATTTTATTACCAGTTCAACTACATAGATTAATGTGTTCTTATGCAATAATGGCAGAAACCTCTGTATTTTAAGAACTTATGAAAGTACTGAAAATAATTTGGTTCACTCATGAATTTATTCTTATTAAAACTGAGATTACTGTATATTTTATAATATGTAGATACAAATGTAATGAACCTAAGAATAGACTCATGCAAGTATCTCCCAGTTTCCACCTTGCTATTTAATGCATAATTTTAAAACCCTCACATGTGAAATGATTTTTATTTAGAAATACATATTTGTGATTTCTTTTTGACAAAGAAAGGCCTTTTGTTCTGCTTTCTTCAACAGAACCTCATTCTGTGACTTTCTACTGTCCCCTAGTGGCATTTTAATCTTTGTAACTATTGTGATATTGCTATTCTGCATTGCTTCTGTGGTTTTCTGTTTTTTTTTGAGACTATCATTAACAAACATCTAAAATACTATTAAACAACCCATCAACTGACTGTGGAAGCAATAACATTGCACTTTAGTCCAAGCGGTCCTTTCAGATATTTTAAAATGATATAAACAAAGCCAGCAACCATATGCTATCTATATAATGCATTACTTCATTACAGTAAACATTTCAGATTTGCAGAATGTTAACACAAACCTGATGAAAGAAAAATGTTATTAGTTGTGACGAGCCTATACATACCCTACAGTAGCTAAAATGTAATCTGTGACAGGTTAGAGAATTGTCAGTAGTCTTGGAGCATGCATTCCAGCTATTCCTTTTATTTTCTTCCCTTTAAGCTCACACTGCATAACCATTAGATTGTTTGCAAATTTTCTATACCCCACAGTGTCACTTTTACATCAAATATTAATATATTGCAGGGAAGTACCAGATTAGTAGCTTTCTCAACTGATAGCTATTGAAAATGGACTTCTTAAGTTTTTCATGTGTTGTATGTGCATACATTTCGTAGCTTTTGCTTTTGTAAATACATAGTTGCATTTTTTTTTTCTTGAGTGTATTTGCATGCATCTCCTTTCTTCACATTCATTAAGACTCGCACACATTTTCTCAATTACATGCAGTTTAATTAGGATATGTTGGATTTTTGTTTCATTTTTTATTTTCATTTTCATACCCAACCAAAAGTAGTCTCTGCTGTCATAGGCTTCTGTGATTAGTTCTCCCATGCTGATCATATATTTTATTTTACAATAGATACTAGAATATTTCTTTATCAGAATTTTTATGTGTATATAAAGATATGATATTGCAGACTATAACTTGCAATTTTGTATGATGAGTCACATTTGATAAAGGAATTTAGTTCTTCAGATTTGGAAAATCTGAATAATTCAGAATTTATTTAGTGTAATCAAATAAATTTTGAATGATGGTGCAAAATCCCGATTACACATATATATATAAATATTTCCAGAAATCATTCACTCACATAAATTCAGATTTAAAAGAATAATTCCTTTTTATAAGGATAATTACTTTTTTAAATTACTTTTTATAAATACTTTTTTACAAGCATAATTACTTTTTCTTCCCCAGTAATATTAACAAAATAGAGGTCATCAGAAGAAATGCATGTTTAGTGTCTACCACGCTATTTTTAGTAGATAGCTGTAAAAAATGACAACTACTGGTACAAGGTATAGTGAAATTTGGCCCATTAACTTAAAAATTTTTAAATCAAGAAGAGATATAGTGCATTAATGACTTCTTGGCACTATCACTGCACTATTATCCTTATAACAACCATCACACTAATATGAATGTTTTATGCTTTTTATCTTGAATGGGTCTAAAGGTAGAAGCCCTTCAGCTATCGTGTTTTCTTGGAGTGGTACATTGTATGCACCGGTTCATCATATGCCCTGGTTGAGAAATGAGAAAGAACATGATGTGACATTGTATACAATTAATATTGTTAAAAAGATTATTTAAATTGGTGCCAGCCTTTGAGCCTTTTTTGTCTCCAGCACTTATATTGTGACTGTATAGATCTGATTTTTCCATCCTTAGGACTGATAAAGATATCTCAAAACAAAGACCCAGAATGCTGTCACTTTGGGCATATACATACAAAAATGCAACCAATGTTAACATTCTCTTCATATCATTTTTCAGATGTGGAAAGGAGTGATTTTAAGGTCTAAAGATTATTTAGTCTTACAAGAAAGCTAAAAATCTGTTCCTCTTTATTTGTACATTTTCATATAATGTGGTGCAGCTTTCAAAATTGCTTCTTTTCAAACAGTAATATCTCAAACTGAAATGTAGAACTTTCGCAGCTTTCTTTCTCACAAATTTCTGCATTCTTTAAATATAATACTTTGGTAAGCAAATTTGTATTATGATATAGCTGCTGTGTTATTGGAAACACTCAAATTACTTTGACAGGCTAAAACAGAGTGGAATTTTTTCATTGAAATGTTGTGTAGCTTTGCTTAGTGCAGTGTAGCTTGTTCATATGCTTAGTTTAAGAGAAAATTATCTCTGAGCTTTTTATTAAGAGGCTACATGTTTTTCCAAAGAATTTCCTCAAAAGAGCTTGCTATAAGTTTGCCTAATTATTACCGAGATTCTGAGAAGATTAGAAAATAGATGGCTTCTGTGTAAATCACAAGAATAATATAACGCTATCAGTGGCCTACTTTCCTAAAATTAGTTTTCTCCAAAACATATAATAAAGCTAAGCAGTCTCACTTTTTACAACACAGGAGACTATCTAAACAGAATGAACAGATTTATAGGGTTATTTTTAGTATGTGTCACTAGGATTGCAGTTTGCATTTGCTTTTGAAACTTATTTGACATTCATGGTACAAAATACAGTCAGAATTCTCATTAAAGTTCTTCATAAAGTACAGTCTCAATAGGGTTGTTACCCCCCTCCTCCCCACCCCCCACCCCCCCAAAGGAAAAAAGCCATGAACGTGCACATCATGTGGTTTGGATTTGATGTTATTTTATTACTATTAAATAAAACTATAAATTGAAACACCTGCTGATGAATGTATAAAGAACATTTACGTAAATAATTGCTCAACTCACAACTAGCAAAGTAACCAAGCATTCTGTCACTATTTCATAGAGCAACAGGTAAATGCTGTCATGTTTAACATGGTAATGATTTTCTTTCATCACCCTAAAAGGCGATTGTTTATTGAGATAAAATCAGGCTTAGATTCATAAAAGGTAGAACACTGTGCTTTTCTGGAAGCTGTTCTTCTGTGAATCGTAATTGTATAACATTATGTAAGATGCTGACATCTGATGTTGAGTGGATTTCCTGAATATGCAGTGTTGTGTTCAGTGATAAACTACAGTTATACACACATATGTTAAATCTAGCTGGGGAAAAGTGTGTGGAATTGCGTGCAGGTTTTTTTCTTTCTTTCTTTTTGCTAAATATTTATATAAACTGAGGAGATAAAACTGAATCTATACTTAACCAGTTTATGTTCTGTTAAGTCTATGGGAATGTTTTTGTGATGTGAAAAATGAAACCTAAACTGACATTGTTATTTTTTGCCTTCTGAAACTATCATATTAATTGGATTTGTGTAAAAGTGTGGAATAAGGGAATGCCTTAGCCAGCATATCGTTCAGCTATATAATTCAAGTAGTTCTTAAATTTCAAAGTATGACAACAAACAGAAATTTTACATAGAGAACTCTGATGAGATTATGTTTTGAAATAAGATTTCTTGAAACTAATGAGTGGAGCATTCAGTAAATTGTGAGAAAAATATGTTGCCTTACAGACTAACTTTTTTCTTATGCGTGCACGTGCATGAGATTCTACAGGCTTTAAAAAATCAGTTTGCTATAGTCATTTTTAAGTATTAAAAGTCAACGTGCAGCACTTAAACATGGAAACAAATCATTCCAATAAATGTATCTCTTGATAGATTGCTTTCTACAAGACTGGCATGGAACTGCAAGAATAAAATGACAGTCAGGCTAATAGGATAATATTAATCATATCTATGGTGAAGAGGAAATTGAGATAACTAGTAAGGGTTAAAAGTGGGCTGGTTTCTTTTGAGACATATATTTAGGAGGCTTTTGTTGTATCTGGCTGAATATTAATTCAGCAACGTAAAAGTAGCAAATGGTTACTGTAGGCTGCCAGCAAACTGTATATGAAACAAAGAATTACTGGGTTCATACAAGCTGATAACAGATTATTACACAGACAAAGCCATTTAAAATTTGCAGCTCCAACCAGACAATTTTTTATGTTTTACAAAGAAGTACAATTACATTTTGAATGACCTTATGCCACAATGATGATATAAAGAACAGATTTGTCTCTGCTCCTGGCTCTAGCTTGTATATTCCGTATACATTAATGCATTTCAGTTGCTGTAGATGTGATTGTTTATCTTTGTCAATTTTAAGATATGAATTAAACACAAATGTCTTTCAAATGTGATACTGTACTTACTCTGTTCAAACGATAAAAATAATTTATTGCAATAACCTGGATTTATGACTTGGTTAGTTAGAGTAAATATACGGCCTCTATGGGATTCCCTTTTGCCCCTTAAATTTTGCAGTGCTTTAAAATGTACTCCCCAGTCAGAGAAAATTTATCCTGTTTTGCATAAAATGCTTTAAAATATACACTGTTGAGAAATTTAACTTTAGAATAATGTGATCAGATGAAGGAAATTATTTCAAATAGCCATTTTAGGTTTAAAGTCATCAGATTCAAGATTATCCAGCAGGACATGTAAAAACTGAAACACTGAAAATCTAAGATATTTTTGACTATACGCATGTATCTATTATAATTAAAAAATTAAAGATATCTAAAAGGCTTTATCTACCAGGGATGTCTTTTACTATTCAGTTTTCAACCATTTATTTCT